ATGTCATAATTGTCAGTATTATTGAAAATTATGTCAACTGTACTGTTATTCATCTGTCCCATAGTTTAGAACATGACCTGGCTATCTGGCATTGTTGCAAGTGCCTTAAATTCATGGCATCCTATTAAAAAAACAAATTTGGTGTTATGCTGCATGACAAAGACAAACACACCTCAAAATGTTGTCCTTTCTTAGCTTGCTGCGTTTTACAGTTCTTTCTGCTAACAATTTATAAGCCTTTATTATATAATATTGATGAATTACAGAAATGATGAAGTTGTTCTCTTATTTCTGTTAAATGTACCAGAGCTGTGTATCTGTTAATGAGATACAGCGTCATTTCTGTGAAATGTATAAATGTATGTGCAGGTCAAATTAATATATGACATTCTATCAGTCTGTATACAGGTATTCCTGTTTTGCTAAGCTGTGCAGATTCTGTAAAAATAAATTAGTGCAGTCAAGTTCTAACATGTCTCATTTTATAGACTCCATTGACAATGGTCCAACCCAAAAGAAAAAAGGAAATGACTGCTAACCACACCTCGTTATGATACCAATGATGAAAAAGTCACTTGGTGCACCTCTCAACAAAACAGGATGCTTTCTCCGAGTTCTTGTATATGCAAATCATTTATGAGGCAAGTTTTCAACAGACCTAGAAAGCAAAACATTGAAAGCGTGTTGTTAGCCCTCCTCTCTGCCCCTGCATCAACAGACAGAGCTCTGGGACCTTGGCAATGACTCAGAGGTTGGGGCTTTCTGAGTAAAGGGACATTTCTTTAAGCATCATCTATCAAATTTATTTCAATGTATGATGTTTTTACAACTGGTCAGTTCTTTTGTATTCTTACAGCTATGGTTATTTGATTGTCCTCTTACAATTTGTTCTACATGAAAGAGTTCTTTGTTAGTCAGAATGCAACAAACTGTCATCAAATGGTCATTGACCACTTGCACTCTTTTGATGTAGATTAAAAACTTTTTCATAAACTTAACCTGCTTTGATTTGCTCTGTATTTTTCCTGCAGCTGTAATTGCTGAGTGCCTGTTGTATACTTTATAGAGTTGAAATAAAAAAAATAATTACTTTTGAACTTAGTTGATGTTTAATTCCAGATAAGGTTCCAAGAATAGAATTGGTATATCATCCTAGATGAAATACCAGGTAGTGCTGTTATAGAATGTCACTATAACAAAGTATGAAATACCTATAATCCAAGCATTCTTCATGAAATAATATATTATATTGTAATCTAATATAAAACTAATGCAACAAATTGGTTTTAAAGAATTCATAGCAATAATGTTGGCCCATCCAGTGTGAAAAGCAAAGTGAATACAGATATTTACACAAACTCATAAATTAGCAGATTTCTGAGCACGACCACCACACAGTCCTTCTTTGGGCTATCCCTAGTCAAACTCTGTACTAGGCAAAACAATCAAAGGGATAATTCCTGTATATTACTACATCCTAGGAGGAAATGATTTCATATGAAGAGCAACTTCATGAGTCTTTGTCCAAAGATAGTTCACCTGATTCCTTGGCTTCACCATATGCACAAATAAGAAAAATTTGGGGAACAATATGATTACAATGAATTCAACTCTCCAAAGCCTGTTAAATATATTCTTTCTACATCCTTTTGTTCTTCTCTGCAGTAAATGATGCACACATTAAAACTGTCTGCAGCATGAAGATCCTCTCAATTACATTGTTTTTGTCTTTTTGATCTCACATTGCCAGTGACAGTGAGTTGAAAACCTTTGTTTGATGTAAACTAGAAATTCAGTCCAGTGAACTTTTCCAGATAAAGCCAATAAAACCACTTGAAAAAATACTATGTCACAATTGTACATCCAGTAATTCATTTCTTCTGCAAACAGAACTGTAATATAAGCTTTTAACATCTATCCTTTAAGTTATGTGATTCTTCATACCCTTAATCTAAGAATGTTCTTCTTGATTGTGAAAGTTCTTTTTATATTAATCACACAGTTTTGGGAGGAGCATGCAGATCAACACAATCATTAGAAGGATGGGGAGGAGGAGGCGTCAGTGATGGTGATGATGTTGCATCTACATCACTCACATCTTGTGCATATTTCAATGGGAATAAATCAGTGTGCAATTTTTCAAGAATGACAATAGGAATCAATTCTAAATTTGAGATAAATGGATTGATTGTGTGATCACTCAAATGATACCCAAGTGCAAATATTACAATGTTACACCTGCAGACCTACCTTGAGATTCTTAGTTATAGCCCTGTGTGTCAAGCTCATAATACGGGCCACCACATTAATGTTTCTTTTGTGTATGTGGGTGGTGTTTGAGACAGGGCCTCACTCTGTCACCCAGGCTGGAGTGCAAAGGCACAATCTCAGCTAACTGCAGCCTTGACTTCCTGGGTTCAAGGGACTCTCCTGCCTTGGCCTACCAAGTATCTAGGACTACAGGTGCATATCACCATGCCCAGTTAATTTCACACTTTTTTATTAGAGAGTCATATTGAGAGTTTTCCTCTGTGTCCCTAGACTTCTCCTTTCTAACTCAAAAAGTCCTATAAATTGATAAAACAGTAATATTTATCTCTGGCAGCTGATTTTTATCCAAAGTAAGTCTATGGAGCAAAAGACAAATCTATCTATCTACATGTCCACTAACAAAGCCAAACAGGTTAAGCCTCAAATTTGTGCAAAAATAATAATAATAATAATAATTATAGAAAGAAAAAGAAAAAGGAAAACAAGGCATCCCTAACAACCCAAAAGTCTGGCCACAGATTTTATAAAAATTCATGGACAAGCTCTAGGCATAGTATCTAAGCCAGTGTTTTTCAAACATTGATGTCATAAGATGTATCTGGTAAATAACATAAAAACACAGGTTTCTAGGATAATCCAAAATTATTTTGTGGTATAACCCAGGAATCTGAATTTTTAACCAACCCCTTAGTGTATTTTGATGAGAATATACATCTCTGAGATAGAAGCAGGAGAAAAGGATCCATGGAGAAACATTTCAGGAATGATGGGGTAAATGAGGTAAACAGAAAAAAAAGTCTATAAAGAATCATGGACATCCAAAGCCTATAAATGTTCTCAGAAATGTTAAATGGCATTTATACTCCACCCATAGAAGTGTCCTTTCAATTAACATATTAAAATGCCCTATTAATGATAAGCTACTTTTCTGTTAAGGAATAGACCTATGTCTTGATTTGCAAAGCTAAAAATAAATAGGTGTACCCACCTCTAGTATCTGGTACATCAGGACAGGATACTAGGAGTTAATTTGCAGGAGGACTCTTAGTCCTCTGAGGAGAAATGATATTGGTGACCTGAGGTTCTGGCTCAGCTGGATTTTGGCCACAGTTCATCAATGTCTGATTTCCTTCCCTGGGGGACTTTTCTGTGCCATGTAAGTCAGGTTGGGGTTTTTGACTTGCTTTGGCCATTGAAAAGTGAGCCTTGTCACTGCAAGCAGAAGCTTTAAGAGCCAGTTCTTGCTTCGTTACATTCTCCTTTCCCTGTGATGTTGTGATCAGCATTTCCTCAACAGTGTCTGCCCTGTCAGCTTCAGAAGCAGAGTAAGGACAGTGATGAGGAGGAGTGGAGCCCCTCACCAACTCCCAAAGGCTTTACAGTGGAATATATTGTTGTTTTGAACCACTAAGATTTCGGCTTTGTCTATTTCAATAGGATTTTGCCCATTCTGACTGATACAACTGTCACATACAAAAGAAAGATGAGGCCTGCCCTGGCATCTGCAAGGTGATTTACCACTGTAGAAAATAACAGGCAGAAAATAACAGAATAAATCTTTAGACCCTGAGTCACAGGCAGTAAAAACTGCAGTGAAGGCTTGAATTCACCCAAATGCCCAATCTTCTGACAGAAACTACCTCAAACCTGACATAGCAAAGATACATTTTAAGGAGTAATGGAAGGAAACATTTTAAGAGCCCAGACCATCTAAGATTGGGGCAATGATTTACCTGGGCAATTTGCATGAAGACCTTCAAATTCAGAAGAACTGGTACTAAAGCAAGAGAAGCAAAGAGGCCAGTAGAAATTATGTTAGACATGGAATCGGAGGATTTGTAATTCCTAGGAAGAACATGATTCTTCAAGGTTCCTGGAGAGAGGTGAGAGTGGAAAGATTTTACTGTAAAAGAAAGTTGGAATAGGAGCAAGATACCATCTTAACTATAATTCTAAATGTCTTCTGTGTAACCCTTTGCTAACTACGTGGGCCACAAATTACTACGTATGTTGAAGTGAATTACTTAGGGCCTTGGTTTCCTGACCCATAGGAAGATTATTAGACTTATTTTTGATAATAAAACTCTATGCTTTTAAGTTCCTTCACTTACAACCTCCCTCCAGAGTTTGGCAAACTATGATACACCAGCCAAATTTGCCTTACAGTCTGTTTTTGTAAATAAAGTTTTATTGGAACAAACATATTGTCTAAAGTAGCTTTCATGTTACAACACCACTTGAGTAGTAAGCTAGAGGCTGCATGGCAGGCAAAGCCTAAAATATTTACTATCTGGCCCTTTCCAGAAAAAGGTTGGCTTGCAATGAGCTGACGATTTTCAAGTTCACTTCTCCATAGAGCTTCAGGACATTGAAGTAATGTCTCAAAGTCTACCAAGATGGAATAGGGAGAGGAGTACCTGGATTAAGAAAAGGGGACATGCAGGGAGTAGGTTCCATAGGCTCCAGATTTCTAATTCTGATTCAGTCAGAAAGGTTACAATATTATTTGTTTTACATATCAGTTTAACATATTCTGAGAGCTGCTTGGATAGCTAAGCTGGAAAGACGTGGGGGTGCTTATCCCTGCGTGGAAACGCTTGCCAATGCTTTCCCATTTGGACCCAGACTCCGGATCGGGAGTAGTCTTATAGCTGAATCAGCTACCAAGAGAAGTTCTAAAGCAAGAAGAGAAAAGCACTTCAATTTGGGACATTTATTTGCAGCTGGAAATGGGGAATGGGCTATCAGACCAGACTTCTATCCTGTCCAACCTGCCTTCATTTCAGTCCTTCCACATTGTCATTCTGGGTTTGGACTGTGCTGGAAAGACAACTGTCTTACACAGGCTGCAGTTCAATGAATTTGTAAATACCGTACCTACCAAAGGATTTAACACTGAGAAAATTAAAGTAACCTTGGGAAATTCTAAAACAGTCACGTTTCACTTCTGGGATGTAGGTGGTCAGGAGAAGTTAAGGCCACTGTGGAAGTCATATACCAGATGCGCAGATGGCATTGTATTTGTTGTGGACTCTGTTGATGTCAAAAGGATGGAGGAAGCCAAAACTGAACTTCACAAAATAACTAGGATATCAGAAAATCAAGGAGTCCCTGTACTTATAGTTGCTAACAAACAAGACTTGAGGAACTCATTGTCTCTTTCAGAAATTGAGAAATTGTTAGCAATGGGTGAACTGAGCTCATCAACTCCTTGGCATTTGCAGCCTACCTGTGCAATCACAGGAAATGGCCTAAAGGAAGGACTTGAGAAACTACATGATATGATCATTAAAAGAAGAAAAATGTTGCGGCAACAGAAAAAGAAAAGATGGATATCAATACCTATTATATCTGTGTGGAGTAGGTTTTCTCTGGTCTGATTTTGACAAATAGAAGAGTGTCTACAACCTGGTTTGCCTGTCTGCCCTCCTGGATGCTATTAAAGCTATGTTTTGTTGAACAATCAGATGCCCAACTCTGTTGCCTTGTGGAAGATGAGTAAATGCAGTGCTTCTTAAAGTGGTCTCTTCTCCCTACCCCACAAATCTTTTGGTACTAGCATTTGGGGAAGCCAAGCAAGGATAGGAAATTGACCAGAACACACTTGTGGAAATTTGGCCTGAAGTTAGTGAAATAAAACTTTCAAGAGTGAAAAAAAACAAAAAAACACAAAAACATATTCTAATGTTAAACCACCCATATGTATTTATGCATATATATGTGTACCTATTGTATATATGTATACATGTACATATATGTATATACACACATATGTATACACGTGTACATGTACACATATGTACACGTGTATACACATACATATATACACGTGCATATATACACATATATGTACATGCATGTATATGCGCATATATGTACGCACATGTATAAACGCATACATGTATGCACCTGTATAGGCACATGTATGTATACACATATATACACATATGTATACACATGTATATATGCATGTATGTATGCACATGTATATGCGCATGTATATATGCATATACACATGCATATATAGAAATATAATTTAATATGTATTTAATATTTCATTGGCATATTTGCCACTCTATGCAGTGCTATCAAACTGGCTCAATTAACATGGTTTATAAATATTATTTATATCTTATGGGGTACCCCCCCACCCTCCTTCCATCCTCTTACCTTTTTGTTTTTAAAATTGTTTTGACACATTAGAGTCCTTTTATTCTATATAAATATTAAAACCATATGGTCACATTTCACGAAAATACCTTTTAGGATTTTGATTAGAATTATTTTTAGTTCATAGATTAATGGGAGAAATGACAATCTTATAACTTTTTCCACTCGTGAGCATTATTTACAGTTTATAGAATGTCTTCAAAAGCATTTTCAATACAATTCATTTACATATTTGGTTGCTATTAAAATAACATCTTTTAAAATATTGTACTCTTGAATATTTTAATTCTTTGTTGGCACAGAGAAATTTAACTCTTTTTTTTTTTTTTTTCTGAATGGAGTCTCACTCTATTGCCCAGACTGCAGTGCAGTAGTGCTATCTCACCTCACTGCAACCTCCGTCTCCTGGGTTCAAGCCTCTCCTGCCTCAGCCTCCCGAGTAGCTGAGACTTACAGGTGCACACAACCATGCCCTGCAAATTTTTGTATTTTTAGTAGAGACAGGGTTTCACCATGTTGGCCAGGCTAGTCTTGAACTCCTGAGCTCAAGTGATCCATTCACCTCAGCCTCCCGAAGTGCTGGAATTGCAGGCGTGAGCTACTGTGCCCAGCCAATTTCTTGTATAGTGCTTTTATGTCCACCATCCTTGCTGAAATTTTACTGATTAATATCTATATCTATTTCTTAGGTTATTTCTAATGATAATATTGTCATCTCTGAATAATAAAATGTTGTATTTAACTCCTTATAGTTCCAATCAGTAATTTTTTTATCGAAGTAATGGACTGGCTAGGACTCCAAGTAAATGTATAATAATAAAATTACAGTCGGCCCCCTTGCTTCTTTTCTGATTTTAAATTTCCTCATTAGATGTTTGATACAGGTTTTATATGCATACACATGATCATATTAAGAGAGTTCTTACTTGGTCAATCTTTTTAAAAAATCAAAATTCTGTTTCAACATACATTAAGAAGGGCACGTTACTTTCTTAATCCTTTTATTGTGGTCGACTTGGCAGAAGATGTATAACACATCTAATGTTAAACCACCCATGATTCCCTGGCATGAATTCAACTTTGTCATTACATGCATTTCAAATATATTGGTGTTTTTGATTTGCCAATGTTATATTTTATTTATTTATGTATTTTAGAGACAGAGTCTCTCTGTCACGCAGGCTGGAGTGCACTGGCACAATCCTAGCTTACTGCAGCCTCAAACTCCTGGGCTCAAGTGATCCTCAAGGCCGCCTCAGCCATTTGAGTAGCTGGGACTGTAGACACACATCACACACAGCTAGTTTGTTTATTTTTTATAGAGATTGGGTCTTGCTATATTTTACAGTCTGGTCTCAAACTCCTGGCTTCAAGTGATCCTCCTACCTTGGCCACCAATATGATATTTTAGACTTTTCTATGTACGATCTCAAGACAGTAGCCTAAAATTCCC